CTCGAGACGTGCGGGATCATTTTGTGCTCGGGCGAAATGATCGAATGTTTTATTTATTTCAAACATCTCGGCGACACGATTTGATTTGACGAGTCGGTGTAAAAGTGCTGTGTGTTTGTACGAGTAAACGCACAGCTGTCGGTCTTTGTGTTGGGGTTACAGGTCAGCTCTGGGTCCTCTGTGGCTGTTTGTGGACTCGTCTACAGGACGGCAACAAGTCAGGAACATAAATGAAACTGTTGGGCGTTTGAACCCGATTAGGCTCGCTGTCCCACTTACTGATGTAATCGTTGTAACAGGGTCATTTGCACACTAGATGTGACAGGACAAGTATTTTCTGCCTGTTTTATATTTTGCCGTCCTTCCTGTGTCTGCTGGGAGCTGTGTCTGTCTCTCTGCCTTTATTACTTTATGTCTGTCTCAGGCTCTCTGTTGAATAGACGAAAACATCCAGTCTACAGAAGCTCAATGCAGACTTTCATTAAGCTGATTTAACAGATTTCATCACCTGCAGCGAATCAGCAAACCTGCTGTTTTCTCAGGATGTGATTTTTGAGGAAAATAATTCAGATTCACGGTGACAGAATCTCTCACGTGTAAAATATTTGATAAAGACTAAATAATATTGTTATAGATAGTTTATTATGATGATAAAGGCTGATTGTGTGTGTGTGCCGACGTGTGAAGCACAGAAGCTATTCCTGCTAACCATAAACGTGTTCCTGGTTCTTACTTAATAGCGACACATTTTATTCCTGTTCGGGATGTCTGTGACCATATTTTCAGGAATATGGTTTGAAGCGATGAGCTGAGAGTTCGTGAAGAGAAACGTGCGGTCGTCACATGTCCTGCGGTTCATCATAGGACCTGAAAGCTGCAGTAAAAGTCTAATGAGCTTTCTAAGGATGCTCATTAAGGACCCCTGGAGTTCTGCCACTCAAAGCTTTGCACCACAAGCTAAAAGCATCTTTGTTTAGGTTCATATTCCCACATTAATCAGCTTCATCAGTCGTAGGCTCCCAGCAGCTCTGGATGTTGGGGTCACATGACACCGTGTGCATATTGGTCAAGAGTTGTCCGCCATATTGGAAATTATACAACCTCCAGTTGCTAGGTAAAGATGTGTCTTTATCAGTCGGTTGGGAGTGGCTCCTGGAGGTTGCACCGGTTGCACAGAAGGTGCTGCAACAATAATCTGTGATTTCTTTAGTTTGGAGCCAATTTTCCGTGTCATGAAATATCCCAGCAGTAGTGAAACTTGGAAACGTGCATTTTTAGAGTAACTGTTTGTAAAGTCCGGCTCTTCCGTTCAAACCGATGCAGCAAAACAGTCATTGGGAGGTTTTGGCCAACTGGTTGGCGAATATTCATTTTTCCTAGTGGCAGGTGGTTGCCAGGGGTTACTGTAGGCCTCTGTGACGGAGCCTCACCAAACATTTTCACTACAACTGCCATCAACTTCCAGCAACCGCTGGCCAGCGCTTGGGGACTCATTCAGTCATTTTTCACTCATGATCAGAAAGTGGGCCCTTATTCACATATTCGTTGTCACTTGTTTATTTGACATTGAAATGAGGTTTTCAAGGACTGAAATCTGCTTATTCAGACTGTTTAATGAGGCTTATTTTTCCATAGCATTGGATCTTTTTCCTGAATGCACATCTTTTGGCAGAGAACAAAAAAAACCTCTGAGTGAGAAACGAAAGAACATTAATTAGTTGTGCACAAACTCAATAACACATAAAAACATATTATTATCAGTTTGCTGGTTTATGGAGTTTGAAGGCTTAACTTGTGTATTTTGGCCTCTGTTTGTATCTGCTGTGACCACGTTTGGTACCTGATGGCGTCACTGTTGCCGGCTTCATCTCTCAGGCTC